TCGATTTCGACGTGACAAAGCAAACGGATGAGCAAGCGAGCAAGTGAATAAAAGGGAGAGGGAAAAAAACGGCACAAGCATAACAAAGTAAAAATCGAATTGTAACGAGAATCCGTAAAGTTGTTCCAATTCCATTAATGCTACAAACGGAACGATCTAATGTACGATCTAATCACGCGTATCGCAATAAAATGAACGCGGACCAAGGCATCGTGCAACGGCATATAGTACAAGTATATTATGGTTTCTCGGCTTAAACTGGATTTCAAACTCGCGCGAGCGTTATCGTCCCAGCACACTGTGATTGTTGGGGAAGTCCGCGCGTATATACGCACCCGGGGAAGGCACATACGCGGCGTTCAGCTTAAGGATATAGTGCCACCTGTACCTAATCCTACTTTTGACTGACGTGTCGTCGAGTTTCACGAGAGAAGATCTCTCTGTAAAAGAAACTTTTTCCATAACGCAATAATTCCTTGGAAAAAAAATTATGCTCAATTATTCTCAGATAATTGCGCTAAGAGACATTTGAATATTTGTATTGAAAATATTCGCGCGTGAAAAATTATATTCCAAACTCGTGTGGAAAAAATGATACAGCCATAGAAAGATAGAGACGGAATTTGACGTGAAAATAATTTTCATTACAAATAACGAAAATATTTGGAAATGGAGTAGCTTATCAGTGACAATTTTATTAGCCAAATAAACGTAATGCGATATCTGTTTTTTCCCCCGGACTAGAAAATATTGTCGAACAATGTAATATTTTTTAACATATTGTGAATGCAGGAAATGGAATATCGGCATGGAACGATACGATATCGTGGGATCACTCTATCTTCGGCAAGCCCGGCGACTAATCCTGCACCCGGCAAATACCGTAACCGAAAAACGAATAGAAATAAAAAAATAAACGCCGCGTTCGCATATACTGTTCGCGTTCCAATATGCCGGCGCGCACGAGCCAGGACAGCTTCGCGAAACACGTTACAAATTTTGATTGAATAAACGTTGGATCGTTTCGCTTTCGGCGCGCTGATTTTTGTGGAATTAAATGACGAATGCAGCGAACACACGGAAAGATACGCGTGCACGCGCGCGCGCGTCGAAAGACAATCTACGTGTTGAAAGAGATACAAACGGATCAAATAAACCAGTTCGCTGCCTCTGCGTCTCGCGCGCCATTACGTGAGAAAGCTTTCGTTCCTCTCCTGCCGTATAAGCGCGTCCCATCGTCTGTACGGCACGTATACCCGCGGTAGCAACGCTTGATTTCCATAAAATTATTGCCGGGTTTAGTATGCCAAGCTCCCTACAGCTTATATCGCAATGTTGTTATATTTTGGAGGCGCCACCTTTCCTAACCCTAGGCTATATGGTTTCATAATGAAGACCCGGAGCGAGTAAAATAAAAGCAAAATTCTCTATTCCCTATTTTCAACACCAAAAAAAAAATTCTCCATGGAAAAGGTAGATTAAGGTCGGTCTGAAAATTATCCGCCAGCAGAAAAAAAATTAATCGAAAGTGCAGGGGAAAAAAAATTAGATGTATGCATCCGAAAGTTAATTAGTGCAGAACGTAGTGTGAGTGTTCGTTGCCGGTGGCGAGGTTGTGATTAACTATCGGAAAAACCGTTTAATTAACGTTTTCATCATTTAATTCGAGTATAAAAGGGGATCAAGAAAACTCGACATTTTCAAGCTTTATCTCGTATGACCACGTTGCAGACGCATCGAGATCAATCTTACTAAACAATGTGTCAGTTTCTATATCACTCACTTAGCGCGATGTTACAAAACGGATACATTTTTTTCACACAAAAATTTATTTACTGAATCCAAAAAAAAAATCAAATAACAAGAATAGAAATACTGCGATAAAGGATGACCTCCCATATTGATCTTATTCCGATTAAGAATTCCTAATCGGAATAAGATCGATATGGGAATGCTCTGAATTCAGGAATAATCCGCAAATTTATTTTTTCCGTAAAACCTTTGTTACTTTACGACATTTGTTTCAATTTACGTGTGATTTAATTAATTTCAATCTGTAGAGTTATTTTAAGACCAACACACCTCGAGAGTTACGTATTGGAAGGTAAGCAGAGAGAGAGAGAGAAAGCGTTATTTATTAAGAGAGAGAGCGAGGGCGAGAGAGATGCACCTTAAAATACATCAATATCCGAGCAAACACCCGACGGGGGCAGATGCCGCAAACGGAATCACAACATGTCGCGGTCGTTTTAATCGGCGAAGGCTCGGCACATATCAATGTACACACGATAGTGTAGCGATAGAGTGAAGTCTTTAATTCGACGTCGTGTATGCCGCGGGCGGAGAAGCGGCTAAGTTTAAATTAGTTCCGAAACATTCGGTGCACGCTCTGATGGTTAATGGTTCTACCATAGATCAATAAGATCGGTGGCGGCGGCGGCGGCGGCGGCGGCGGCGGCTGCAGCTGCAGCTGCGGCAACGGCAGCGGCGGCGGCGGCAGTGACGATGCGACGAGACCAGTTGCAGAGCGAATTGCAACGCGAGTGCGCTGCATTGCATTGCATTGCACTGCGCTGCGCTGCGCTGCACTGCCGTTGCGTTGCGTTGTCGCGCCTCGCCGCGGGGCATCCAGCTGCGAAACGCGCCGCAGCCGCTTGACCGGATACCCCCGCCGTCGCGTCGCGCCAGTCGCTTCTGTTACGTGCTCGATATATACCTGTTTCTCGCGAGCTCTCACGGGAAAGGAAAAACGTACACGAAGTCATAATTTCCACCTTCGATAAGAGGCGCGCCTGCGTGGCAACGGACGCGCTCGACCTTGTTACGGCACCCGCCGCCGCGTGTAACGCGATATGTCTTTAAGGGAGCCGAGGATACGTGCGATTAAGGGCTCGGGGAGGTGTGTGCGCGATGGTCGGTATTAGAAATAGCTTATCGTTCGCGGACGAATTTATTACGATAACAGGCGACTCGAGGAGGAGGAGGAGGAGGAGAAGGATGCGTTGCCGGAACGGAGGCAATCGGCGGCGCTCTCTCCACACTTACTCTGCGGATATTATCGATTTCATATCTTTCCACCCCGGGCGGATGTTATTCGCGTAAGCATACGCTTAAATAGATTTTAATCGATGAAGCGATCACGCCCAAAGCAAAACTGACCCAGCTTTAACGAGATAATAATATCAAAGATTTTGATCGGAAATATAGTGTGTACGCGTTCTATTTTCTCTTTTTTTTTACAAGGAAGTTGCTTGTACCTTTTTTTCTTTCTTAATGAGCATAATTGTTTAGTAAAAATTTTGTATATTTCAAAACTTCTAACTTAATTATGCTCTTAACAATTAGCTCGTTATCGTAGAAATAACGGTAATCGCTCGATACCGGCTTTATCGCGGTAGCTTTCAAGGGAGCCTGAAGGGAAACCCGAAGAAAATTTTATAAAGCTGCACTATGTACAATCAAGAAACTTCGGCCTTAAAGCATTTTCGATCCGACGATGAACACATTACGCAAAGCAGCTCGTTAAAGTACACTTAATTCGAAAATCTTAAGTATTCGGCAAAATGTTATTATCCCCCTATCCCTATCCGCGGTAAAAATTTTCCAAGAAATTTGCAGAGTCAGCGCGAGGTGACTTGCTCGACCAGATCTTATCCGACTGTTGTCTAGTCAATTAATCGTCGATAAACGGAGGTAACAAAAAGTAGCGTCCTACTTGCAACTTGCTTTTAACTTATAAAGAGCAATTTCACCATCATAATTTTTTATTCGTGTTATAAATATATACTGAGTACGTGACAAATAATGCGGCACGTCAAGAAAGAATGGAAGTAAATTCAAAGTTATATTAAATTTGAAATACATTTGTTTTTAAGTATTGACGTATATATTCGAAAATTTCTGTTGAGAGAACAAGATTGCATATCTATCTTAAGTTTGCACACTTGTATCTTATTGCTTAAAAAAATGACACAATTCCTGAAGCAATTACATAAAATAGCCCTAAATTCTAACGTTTGTTCATCCCGAAATCTGTCAAAAGATTTAAGCCAACTCGTGTAAATTTATCTTGGATCAGAGAGCCTTCCACCCTGATAATTAGCGCCGGATATCGCCGGCGCACAGGCTACCTGATATTAATTGACGCAATTATAAGCACACAACGTAATTCCGGCGATATTCGTTCTCTATACGTACGAGCGTACGGAATTTTAAGGATCGCTTGCAGAAGCAGCGGCAGCGGCGGGCAAGCAATGGCAGCAATATCGGGGGCACCCCAACCTGCTCGACCGGATCCGGAGCCGCTCCTGCCGTTGCAACTGCGGCCGATTAATCGACCTTACCGGTTCCCGCGGTGTATTTTTCTTCTACTACCACCACACTCGCGCGAGGCCAGATATTATATTCTGCCGGATACACACTTCGGGCCCCGACGTAATTTAAATCGCAAACCTCCGCCCACGCCTATTTCTGGCGAGGATATCGCGAATTCTTATTCAGCAGATGTCGCGTCTAACGCCGAGATAATGAAAATGGACTTGATAAAAAAAAGGGGGGGAAAACACGAACGTCACCTCTAATGAAATTATATACATAGACCTGAGACTTGAAAGATCAGCAAGTCGACCGCGCATAACTATTTTCCGTGTAAGTAAGCGGTTTATCGACATTTCATTTAATCTTCCGTGAGAAACCGTAACTCGCGCGCCTGGCTTAGGGTCCGCTCCCATAAACGTTAGTGAAAATTAACTGAGCTTTAATTCATTCTCCGTTCCTCTCTAGAGACAAAACTAGAAAGAGATAGCGAAATTGATTAAATCTCGGTTAATTCTAAGTAATTTTTATGGGAAACGACCCTTAGATGTGCGAGGCAGTTAAAACATAAATTTAACACAGAACATTTCAGATCCACTACGTTTTTCTTAACTTATTTATAGATTTCTTAACGCAGAATATTAGAGTTCAATATTTATTGATCGTATCTTTTTTTCTGTATTCAGGCGATTTTTCGCTGCACATATATCCGGTGGAACTCGAGGACGACGGCACGTATCAATGTCAGGCTTCGCCGACAAACGACGGACAGCCGGCTTTACGATCGAGATTTGCCAAGCTGAGCGTGCTGGTGCCACCGCAAAAGCCGAAGATCCTGCAGGGCGACTTCCTCGTCACCACCGAAGATCGGGAGCTGGTGATCGAATGTATAAGCAGCGCCGGAAAACCGCCAGCGGAGGCAAGTAGCCCTTTCCTCTTTCTCGTATCTTCTGGCATCTTTGTCAACATATATATACACATCGATAGGATTACCCGAGATTAGACCGGATTAATAGCCGTGAAAGCAACCTCCGGCGATTGCATCTGGAAACTTCGTGGATATCCCTTGGCAATGGGCAGTACGCTGCCTCGAAGATTATGCTCGATTGATTTTACGTTTAGACCTATCTCCCCTACTTGATTCGTTTCCAAAAACGTTTCTTTGTTGCACACGTAAACTATCCACCGCAATTCTAAGCGAGGAACAAACATGAAAAAAATCGGTTTCTACATTTCTTTGATGTAATATATCGACATGTAGACTATATGTGCGTGTATAAACACCGGGTGTGTATATTTGACAAAATGGGTCCAACCAAAAAAAACCGGGTTTTATGGGGTCCAAAAATCCAAATAAAATGTTTAATATAAAATAATATGAATAAATATAATTTAATGTTATTAAGATATATATTAAAATTGGCAAAGAAATAGAATACATAATGAAATTGAATTGACGTATTTTATATTTTAGTTTCAAGCTTAAAAAAAACCCGGGTTTTTTAGAACTCTGAAGTATATTTGAAGCACCCTGTATGTATTGTCTTGCGAAAAAGTTCTTAGCGTGCAATTGTAATGGAAAGTTATGCAACCGTGATAACTTCCGATGTTGTTAGGGCCCGCATAGCCGAACTTTTGCTATGTAATGAATGAAAATAAAGCGCGCCGTATGAAATCCGTAGGCGGTACATTAGCGTAATAGAAAACCCTTATCTCCATAACAGTCATTAAGTTTAAGCTCTTTTATATACGGATAAACTTCCTTTTGTCACGAATATTATGGAAACACATCTTGCAAGCTCATGAAGCTAACGAGAACTTTTTCCTGGTATTACGTGTGTCTCGTAAAGCAGTCACTTTGGACTGAGTGTAATATATCAAAGCATTTATCCATCCTCTTTAATAATATTTTATGCAGGGATAATTGTATCATAGCATACCATATTAACATTATCGCGATTATTACGGTTAAAATATTTGCCTTGATATGAAAAATGCACGCGTATTATCGACCTATTATTACTCGTAGTATCGAGTGCAAAAACAATAACTGTTAACGACGCTAATTTATATCTACTATACAGCTTGTACATAATAGAATGTAAAATCCGCGAATTACATTGTTCTTTCCACCTTTTCAAATTAATTCGTACCTCGCGAGCTCTCGCGAGTATTTTACAACGTTATTTATCCGAACACGCGTATACAACGTGTCAAACGATACTTTATATGTTTATCAGTTCAGCAAGGGTGGAATTGCAGGAACGATCGGTATTAACTGACGGGCTGAATGTTTGTAGGGACATATAGATAAAGTAACTCACATAAATCTCAGGCTCACCGAGCGTGATTCGAAGTTGTTTTTGTTGCGCGGAACCACGCGTTCTACTGGACTTCGCAGCAAGAAATGCGGCCTACCGCTTTGGCTCCGGTCGGATTTTCAGGGCAGATTCGGTACACTCAGGGAAATTTCGCTGTTCCACCTGGAATTATAAATATTACACTTAAATTATATCGCTGTTTTTTGTATCTGCTAAAAAATTGTCTGTCATACGTAGAATTTATAGCAACAATATTCAAAGAATATATGCAAGAAAATATAGGTCTCATAACCAAATATGATTGGAGTCTGGATTGATTAAACATCATAGAGAAATTTTCTTGCTAAATTTAACAAATAGTTCAGATATAATTTCTTTTTTTTTATCTCTGTTATCTATATTGATTAAATACAAAACATATGTGGTATCGCAGTGATTACTAATCACTTATCCGCTTTAGCTAATTTTTATAATTCTCGCTATAATTGCAAGATTACTTTTACTAAGCGTGTCGCGCGCGTTAGGGTTTACTCGCTTTTAGCTTACAGACAATCAGCAGGAATAATAACGTGAACGTTCTTCACGTTATCGATTCCAGTTAAGATCCATGTGACACGAAACTACGAAAGCCCTCGAAAGAATGTGCGGTCGGAGGTGCACATGTTCTAATTTGTTTTTATAGTTTCAAGTCCAATTCAAATAACGGAGACGGAAAAAGAGATAATATGTAGATAAGGTATTTGCGCGGATGCATCGCGCGTTTTGAATACATTCGGATTCCGCAGGTGTAATGTATCTTGAAATGCGTCGGAATATAACAGCGAAGATCGAAGGGGAGAATTACGCCCCCGGTATGCCATCGTCGCGCGTAGCAATAACAACGTTACGTGTGAAAATGGAGTGGCGAGGTGATGCGGGGGCGGACACAGATCGTTATGCATTTGCTGCATCGAGGTGAATGTAAGGCCGACGCGCGATACTCGCCCGGTATATATATATATATATGGACGGATGGCGGTGCGCGAGCCATTTTCATCGCATTTGCGGAATGCGAATAGTGGTCCGACCCGATGTTTATAGGGAACGAAACGTTTAAATCAGGGTTTGACAAGATGGGCCCAAACCAATAAAATTCCCAAAAAGAGCGAATTGTAGCGACAGTCGCTCTATGTGGCTTAAAAATTTTATTCAATACATCCTTTAACCTCGTATATCTTCTTTTCAATTCAAAGTACCTCCTGAAATACGTCTATTTATAGATTAAGATGTGGGTTACCCTGTATATATGAATATATCGGACGCGCATTTCTGTCGTATCTCGGAAAGGGGACCGGTGGAAAAAGAGAAGCAATCGTTTGGCGATATCAAGAGAGACGAGGTATAGCAACGGCAAACGCGGAGCATGAATATTTAAGCTGATTATTTTGCAGTTATTCATCGGTTAAGTTCCAAACGAGCCCGGTGGCAACTTAGTTACGGAGCCGCAGTTAAGAACTTTACCGGCGCGGCGTCGCGCTCTACGTCGCTTTCCGCTCTCTCTCCGTCTCCATTTTGCACCTTCCGTCGTCCGCGCTACGATTTAATTTATTGCGAGCGATCTAATTTCACGGGCGACATTATAGCCCGACCGCATTAGTTGCAGAACGATCGTTAGCCGATCGTGGAATTCCCATCTTCGTGGAAGAAATAACAGCCAGCGCGCGTTTACTTTGCGCGACGGCGTTTTCGCAATAAACTTGCAAACGTAGGCAGTATAAATAAAACGATAATTTTATCAACTCCAACGGTTGAACTTAATAATAAAGTTTAACGAAGTTAATTAAAATCGCTATATTCACGAGTGCTAAAGTATAGATAGCGCATTAATACAAAATAAAGCAAATTGCAGCAAATGGTTTGATGTGCGAAACACGTAGGTGACGTCGACGGATCTTTCCAACGGTGAGCTTTGAATTTTCCAGGACTTCGCGTCGACGGCTCAAAGTGAATTCTAGAGTACGATAATCGAAAAAGTTGACGATCACTGTATCAGACGTTACCGTTGGAGAGATAGAAGATCGAGAGACGAAATGCATTCGAGACACATCGGAGACTAAGTTGAAACGGCAGGAACCAAAGTTTCGACTCAGTCCACAGAGTCTCTTTCCCCTTTGAGCTGCAGAATTACCCGGCGACTACATCGAAGATGTGTAAACGCAAATTTTCAAGCCGCTGTAGTAGACCAAACTCGGCTTGATATCAATAGTACCCCATCTACTTTGAGTATCGCGCTATGGCTTCATCTCTGCGTATCCGAGTTTATTCGTGCAATATGTTGCGGCTTTTCTACATTATTCACAGAGGGTGTATTCACTAGGGTATAGAACGGGTGAAAAATGAACGAAAAGAATTATACGTACAAACGATTATAAAGCGTAATTTTCAGATCGACGGTTAATATTTTTCGTAAAAAAATATATGAACTCCGCTTTTTAAACAATTTTTAGCAAATTATTAATGTCAACTTTAATTTAAACCAAGGTTTTAAAAAACCCGGGTTTTTTTAAATCCTGTTTATTCGATCATCTTTTATATGAAAGTTTAGGCTATCTGAAATCTATCTAGAACCGACTGATTTATTTAACAAGATCAAACAGATCAGTAATCGCGATAACAAGTGACTCGCTAAATTAAAAACATGCGCGATTGTTTTTAATAATTTTGGGAAGGCACTTAGTCACTTGCAAAAAAGAAAACTTCTTACATGTCAGAGACAATATTCATTAAAAATTTTTAAAGTATTCATTTTTTATTTCAATTTTAGAGCCGTATTCCTTACATGTTGAACGTAAAAACAATAAAAATAATTTACTATCGTGATTTATTATCGAGTACAGTTCATTAAACGTTACAAAATGTCCAATACATTTCGAATAAATATCGAAACATTTCAAGGACGCGAATCTGTCAGGCACGAATTTTACCCTCAAATAAATACAATCCCGACGATGTTCACCGTCGTTAATGTTAAATCCTGCCTAGTGGGAGCAGCTAGTTAATCGGCAACTGGCGAAGAATTTAATGAAATTTGTTTCTCGATCGTTCGCAAACGCATGCTTTTTAATTAAAATTATGCAAATCCACGATTAATGGCGCGATCGGGGAATCGACGCGCGAGTAATGATCGCGGAATATTTAAACACGAAAAAAATATCCATTTTGAATATGTTCCTGCGGCATACAGAAAGAATACATTAAATCACAGAGTGACTAAAATGGTCGACTGCAATCTGATAGAATATTGAACCACATAATCCTACACAAATCCCATAATTTTTTGGTGAAATGGTCAAAATAAATAACATCGCTAGTCGGAAAAATAATTGAATATGACTTTTGTGGCGTTGATCATTGTATATATATCGGTATATACAATATCGGTCACGGATTGTGTATATTTTTCTTATAAACTTGGTTCGCAATTCGTGATGCGCCAAAATCGTAATCGCGCGCAAATCCATGAAAAGTATCAATTTCATGAGAGCTTAATTTTCGCATTATTCATTACCATTTTTTGCCACATTTGCCACATTTTGCAGGGTTTGAGAAATGGGCCCAA